AGACTAAATGAATTTCGTTTTGGGTTTCAAAACTTATCATTTTTTTACCATTATACATATTAAATCTTCAGAAAAAATTAGTTGTTCTATGCAGAACCAGTTGACCTATTTTGCATTGAATTCAGCAATACAGGTGAATAAGGGGCTTTCTGAGTATCCGGAGATATTAATTTAGACAAACATCAACTACAATAAATAGGTTACACTTGGGCAGAATATCCATGAAAGGACTAGTAGGTTCATTAGCTACGAGATATAAAAAATTAAGAGATGATTTTTTTTTTGTTCAATCATTTATGAAAGTGAAATAGTGAAATAATAATTCACTTTTAGCAGCAAATTTGGTTCAATATCGTCAAAATAAGCAAAGAAACATTGCTGATGAATTATTCACTTGCAGACCTCATTGAATCCATATTCATGTGAACTTTAATTTAATCCCTTAGCTGGCAATGGGTTTCGCATGTACAGTATTCAGCTATTAAATGGAAACATTGAAAGTAAAACAAGGATGAACCATTTGGTTGACTGATTCTATCCCCAAAAAATCATTCTTATACAGGTAAAAACAATGAAAAACATACTTTTTATCCTATAATATGAAATCAAACAGACCTAGAACAATCCAATTGCACGTTGTCACTATCTATTTATATTTATGTTTATATCTGGTAATATGACCGTCTGCAGTCTTCAGAGGTCACCTCTATGGTTAATTAGATGACATCTAGACAAAAATACACGTAAAATGCTGATACATAATATCAAGTCCATGCATTGTTAATTATTCATTTTAGACTTTTGGTAATTTGGATATACATTTAAGTATGTTATAAATCAAATAAGAAAATTTGAGTCAAATTGGTGAAAATGACAGCTAAATTAATGCCCCTTAAAGGCCCTAAAATTCAGATTAGGATTTATTGACCAATATTACAATGAATCATAGTTAAAACATTGACTATGTAGGAAATATACGTTTTTTGTTGAAAATTTGCATATTAACCTTCTTTTCATGTAGTCACAAACATGACAAATAGCACACATATTGATTTTCCACGAAAATTAAAGAATAAATGTAAATTTCCATTGTTTTTTTAGACCAGAAACATGGAGTGCATGCATAGACAAGAAAGACCTTTGAAAAAAAATTATTTTAACATTTTACATATCTGATTTGAATATTTAGTTTGTTGAAGCCTGCACTCTGTGTTTCCTAGGCCTGAATTTGGTAGGAATCCAGACATTTTTGTCAATTTTCATCAAAATCTCTACTTTAGATCTACATGTACTTGGGTTGTAAATATTACATGTATTAAGGTTTTATAAGAAAAGCTATATGAAAACAAATGGAGAATATGTCTAGGGCCACAGATGCCCCCGCTTGTAAATATGCATGAGTCAACTTCCACATACAGATGCAGGATTCACGTAGTTAAGACCCTTTTGTGATTATAAGCATTGTGTATAAGTTTCATAACATTTGGTTGAGGTAAACTAAAGTTACAGAACGGAAACAAAAATTTTTCTATTTATAAAGGGCATAACTCAAGAACGGTAAAACTGATGCCACCCAATTTCAAATTTGATCTGTGTTTTGCGGTATTAAGCATTGTGTATAGGTTTCATAACATTTAGTTGAGGCAAACTAAAGTTAGAAAGCGGAAACAAAAATTCAGCAATTTTTCCAATTTTGGGGACGGACAAGGGTAACACTTAATGTCCCTACCGCTATGGCGGGGGCATAAAAGGTCTTTTTCACTTTCCTACTTGTCTTTTCATCCACTTGAAACAATTTTTATCTTCAATCAATGGACTTTATATTTAGGACCAAATATGACCCTTACTGACCTTACTCCTTTGTTAAAGGATCACCACAGACTGTTTAAGGCAAATTAAGTGTGGTATCAGGTGTATCTTAATCAATGAAATTTAATTTTTCAAAACCATTGATGGAACTCAATCTCTTTCCTTTATTTTGGAAGAACCAATTTCGGGATGAAATGTTTAATTACATTTGAAGATCTATACAAGAAATCTAAAAATTTCTTCTACAAAGTAACATTCTGACTTTAAATAAAGATTTTCCTCTTTTTTTTTTAGTTTAATATGAAGTGTACCTAAATTGTTTCTTTAATTGCCAAAATACCTAGAAATTCTGCATTTGAAAAACATTAATGATTAAGTCATATATTCACTGACCTTTAAAAGGTTAGTATCTACATTTGATCTAGGCCATGCAAAACAGATTGTTACAAAAACAAGCATTCTGTGAGTATTGCCTGGCAATACATAGTCCCATACCGGTTAAAAAATTCATTGTACTGGATTGATTGATTGTTGGTTGCTTAATGTCCAGTGGCAAATATTTCATGCATATTCAGGACGAAAACAAATTAACAATAAATACAATAGGCAGGTTCTGTAATAGGGGCTTCCTGGATTAAGGTCGGAGAAATTTAGACTGCCACAGGAAATGAGGGTATATTGGATAAGGACAGAAATTTAGCCTTGCAACAGGTCACCTACGGACCCCTCAAAGAGTTGTTGCAAGGGTTCTTAACGTGCAAAGAGCGTGCACTCTCCTTACACCAGGCATCGGATTTAACGTCCCCATTCTGACTGGACGTGGCTGCTAATTCATACATCCCGCACAGCCAAACGGACGCCCCACTTTAGCAAGGGTTTTACTGCCAGTCGGAGGAAGACCAATGGTGACCATACTTCTATTCCCCAGTCACCCTTGGGGGGCATTGTACTGGAACAAAATGCTAACTTGATCTATAACTTGTCATGGTGTAAACTGTTTAACAAATTTTAAGTCAATATCTTCAAGCATGACGAAAAAAAAATGTGGAAAATTGATTATTTTAGTGAATTTTCTAAGTCCAAGGACCATAACTCTGCACAAAATCATCAGACCAGAACAAAATTCGAACTTGATCTGTATCTTGTCATGATAAAACTAAATACATGTACCAATTATCAAATCAAAATCTTCAAGCATGACGAAAAAAAGTGAGGAAAACTTTTTTTCCGTATTAAGGACGAAATTTTCGGCCTTTAAGAATGCTTACCACAGAAATTCTTTACCCTCAAGTTGCAGTACTATCCAATAGCTATTCATTAGGGCAGCCTCTATAATCCCTAGCCATAAAGAACAACCGAGACAATAGGTTGGAAAGTGGGTCTCGCCAATGCATATTTTATCGAATTAGGCTTTAATTCCATGTTACGGATGAAATTTTCGGCCTTTAAGAATGCTTACCCCAGAAATTCTTTACCCTCTCGCTGTAGTTCTATCCAATAGTTATTTATTATAGCAGATTAACATAAAAATAGTTAAGGAACATAACTCTGCACAAAATCATTAAACCAGACCAGAACAAAATTCTAACTTGATCTGTAACTTGTCATTATAAAACTATAAACCCAATCATCAAATCAATATCTCCAAGCATGACAAAAAAAGTGTGGAAAACTGATTTGCCGGACTGACAGACAGACGGACGGAGTGCAAACCTAAAATCACCTTTGACTTTGTCGGTAGAGGACTAATAAATTAAAGTAAAAAGAATGATGATTGGCACCAAGACAGCTTTCGTTCATATTTTGTATACAAATGTACTACATGTATATCCCTCAGAAAAGTTGTCCACCTATTTTTTTTTTTGGTCAAAAGAGTACATGTAGATACTGCCTCTTTAAACTTCATGACAATTGTACATGTGTACAATGTTTTTTGAACAATGTATCCAGAGACATTCACGTCACTTTACTTGAGCAGCCTTAAAACACTGGTAGTCATTTTAGATTAGAGTTTCCTGCAGCTTCTAAAAAGGGCAGGGTCATTTTTGCCATGAGAGCCTCAAAGGGCTCTCTTAGCCTGATTAACGACACTTTAAGGGTACCCCTTGCATGGATAACTACACTTTTAAGCCACCCTTAATCAATCAGCTGATTGATATATGGTAAAACTCCATGCATCATAAAATAATAACTCAAAAGATTGCCTGGTTCCCCTTCAAATTGAATTCAATTTGAAATTCCTGGAGGTACAAAGTCACATTTGTCTTAATTCAATTCAATCATCAACAGTATTTGTACTCAGGTCGCTTCAAAATGTTCAAACGTAATTTTATGAAAAAGTGAACATTTGTAAACGAATAGAGCATCAGTGTACACTTGTGTTAAAAAGGCTATGGGCGAAAATTCTGTATCATATCTGACATTGCAGGAAACAAGCTCAACAGCAGATACTAAATATATGCATTCTATGAATTGGGAGCATAAAAAAAAAATCCATGTTCTGAGGAAGAAAAAATACATCAGTGGAACTTTTGACCTTGAGAATTTAAGGTTTAAGATTGTTTAGTTGCTAGATCGAAAGGGGAAGTCCAGAGTTGGTGAAGGGGATCATGTGGACACAACTGTCATATCCAGTAAATTGTTGGCAGTAGTATTAAGTTGCCTGGTGTTGGGAATAAATCACAAATTACCACATATCACAGATTAATCCTCCCAACAACTCTTCATGTTCACTGCTTAATCTACATGTTTAATAGTAGAAAAGCAGCAACTATATGACTCCCAGGTATCACAGTATATTGTTCTAAATATGCAAAATGGTCTAAATGTAACTGACATAAAACCAATTAAATTGCTAGTAAACATATAAAAATTCTGAAGCCTACATGTACTACTGCAAGGATAAATTGGTGAATGTAGTTGATTCACTCTAAATAGGCTTTCAGTATTTATAAATTAGTATTGGCACTCCAAATCAACAGCAATCATCATGTTACATGCACTATGATATAGGGATTCACTTAACACAAGCAAGAGTGATATTAAACTGAACCCTTTGTGAGTACTGTATTAAGCCTTTACAGCATAAAACAATATTACTGGACTGACAGCATTTGGCAGTATCCTAGATTGGAATTAGCAGACTCTTATACAGCAGATTCATATACATGCATAAACAACAAAAGACTTACTTTGTAAGAGGATTGCTGCTGACATCAAAGTCTTGCAAGTTTTTACAGAATTTTATGTTTTCAGGAATATCTCCAATATCTGAAACAGAAAAGGATCAAAAGATAAAAGCATTTACACTAGTCAAGAATCGAGGAATAACTGCAACAACTGAGTCAACCTCAAGTTGTTTAGTTTGGGTTCAACTTCATGTTGATCAACATTTAGTTTTCTGTGTACTGATTTGTGGGCATCTTTGCATCTGTTTTCTTTTGATCTAGGTGTTGCACTTTGACTTTGATTTACAATAAACCCAACACTAATATCTTTTTTTTTAAATTACCAGTGCTTTCCTCCATCCTTATAGTATAGTACAATGGTGCTAACTGAATTGATTTGAAACTGTTTACAACACTTGAAGTGAAACCTTTACCTATACAATACTTTAATTAATTTTGCTGACTATTCAACATAAAGAGATGCAAATAAAAAAATATTCTGTCGGACATTGGGTCCTGCATGCAAGACAGTTTTGCCAGTCCTATCAACTGTTTGCCAGACCTACTTTAATACTTAAAAAAAAAAAAAAAAAAGTTCCAAGTTGGATTAAGATACGTCTTAAAACCTTGACTAGATCGACCAGTTTAAGGATATGACCATGGGGTGGTTTAATGACTGAGACAATAATCAATTCAAATTATCCATTACCTTTATGGATAGTGGTCTTACATGTCTTATTGGCATTTATATATTAGAACAATTAGATCAAAAACAAGAAAGTGGCAAGCTACATTTATGTCAAAACAAAATGTGTTCACTCATTCACTCAAATGAAAAAAATACTCTTTAAAAACTAAAATAATACTTGAATGTTTTTGTTTTAATTTTATTTATATAAATCTGGTTATTAGTTGTCCCTTATTAGAACTTTTGGTTTCCAATGCTTTTCAACTGCATAATGGATTTGGCCTTTCATTGTTCCAACTGATTTAATTCATGCACCACTGATTAGTCATAAGGAGATGAAACCCATGTTTGTCGTACTAACAATGTTCTAGTTAAGGCACGTATACATACTAGCCCTAGATGCATGGTTTTTTGTCTGAATGCATCCTGATAACACTAGCTGAGTCTTGTTATCATCATAATTATCCCTCAGCTATCAAAAAGAAGCTGAAAACATTCTTCTATTCAATATTTTTACCAGAAATTTACTTTCGTTTTCATTCATTGCTATGTGTAATGATAAATCCAGAGACATACGAAAATAATTATGATCACATGACTAAAGCTAATTGGATAAATGCCGAGAAGATCGAAATCTGTTTGCATTAGCACGTTTACCTATTACCAGCAATAAACTGTCAATAGAACTTTTTGTTTTTCAATGCTTTTTAACTACATAATTGATTTGGAATCGAAGATAACCAGGACCAACAGAAACTTCAGTTTTGACGGCCCTAAACAGTAAAAATATTTGCCAGTCATTAGGTCTGACACAAAGACGTCATTTGCTAGACCCTCTCAAATTCTGCCCCTAGGTCTGACAATTAGCCAATCTCTGAACATGCATAAAATATTACTAATAGGAGTAATACTATAAAATATTACTAATAGGTGTAATACTACCACTGTTTTTCTATATTAGTTTTTGTTAAATTGGCGTTTTCAACAAAATTGGGCAGAATTTATCTTTGTTTAAGATAAAGAAATACTTGAACTGGCAGGAGTCAAGTTTCAGTCTGTCCAGTACTACAGTGAAAATTTCATATAACATTTCATTACAAATAAGATAATAACCATCAGGCCAAAATAAATAAATAGTGTGTTTCCGGTTTCCCGATCCTACCTCCTTTTCTGACGCCGACCCTAAACATTTTATTGACAAAAATAAAATAAAAATATTAAAAATCCGTATTTTTCTGTCTTTCCGGATTTGACTATTCGTTTAGAAAACTACAGATCTTCAAAACGTTTGATAGCAATGACCAATATAGATAAGTAAAGCGTTTCAAGAACCAAGATTTTAAATAAACAAGCATGGCTTTTTCCTTCACAACCGTGCAGCGTATTAGCTGTCAAATATGGGAAATGTGATCACATGGTTGCAAAATATAATGACATTAATTTCAGATAATTACGATATGATGAATCTTTTTAAAGAACACCATGATGGATCTATAGAGGAAAAAAATATGAAGTTGACGTATTTTGCTCAACTTCTTTGCACAGATACAAGACAAGATTTTTTAAATATTTGTATATATAGTGAATAATGTATTCAGTATATATACATATATTAACAAGATCTCATTTTGTACCTGTGCTTCTTTGAACCAAAAGTCAGAATCGTTTCAGGTTGTACAGACTGTATCTAATTCTGTCGGTTAATTGACAAATAATTTAAGAGTAAAATGAGATCAATTTCCTGCTAAAATTAATCCAGCTTTTGTTGTGAAAAATGCTCTTACGAATGTTGTAAAAAATTGTTTATAGGGCAACATAAACGGCTGTTAATGCTTTTGAGGATTTGACAGTTTGAGTTCACGACGGCAAGGGGGCAGACAATGTGTAACGAAAAATAAAAAGCTTTCCCCAGTAGGCAGACATGGTGTATGATTCATGTTCATTTATAAATGAATCTGCCCCGGCACCATGTCTACTTTTATTCTTTTATATTTTCTCTGGCTGGTCCTACAACAGTTTATACTAGAGAAGGAAAAAAAATCATGTCCTAATAATATCTACTATCTTTTTCCATAGATTTAATAAGACAAAGATTTCACTCTTCTCAAAACCTGGAATTTTAATATTGTCAGAACCCCCCTCTTCAAGATTAAATTCTGTCAAACATCAAAACACATCTATATATTAAATAAAAAGGGTGCAAGAGTATTACCTCTCAAAAAATCATAATAAGCTGCTGCTTGGCATCGATTTGCAGTGTTTTTACTACTAAAAAAAAGGGGGGGTAGGAATCTGTTCCCAAATGTATATCCTGTGTGTCATTTACATTGTTAGGTTCAACGAGGCCAAACATAATAATTCCATGCCAGATTTTTCACTGCCATTTTTGCTTTAAGATAATTAATCGACAAGAACATATTCCTATACTGACGGACTTTAAAAACGCAACACTAGATTATTCTTTTTTACTCCCATTTTCAAACAGGCAATTTTTGTAAAGTAAATGTATAAAGATAACTTTTATTCATTTCTTAATTGTCTGAAAAAAAAATTTGCAGTTCAAAAGTTGAACTCATGACGTCATTTTTAAAGTTTAATTCATGTGGTATATGCACTGAAACCCTGGTTTTCTCCTTATCAATGGATGTATCACCGTCGAAGACAATGACTGCCTGCCACCAACGTCAAAATGATTGTCAGAAAGGTCAACCAATTTTGAGGGCATGTTTTGAGTTCTGTTTTGTACCTTTTGAATTTGCCTTTGCCCCATGCATTACAGTGTGTTTTAGCAATTAAGGGGTTTAAAATTAAGAGCTTCAAATGTTTTTCTGCAGTCGATTCTTTGGCATTTCAGTATATGGGAAACATTTTTGGCATGAATCTGTCTGCCATTGCATTCGTCTACTTCATTAGCAGATGACGTTGAAGCCGTAAATAAGACTCGCAAATGATGTTGCATAATCAAATTTTATTGACGTTGCGTCGTCACTCCATATTGATCTGGTCATGGATGGTCATCAACAAATCCTGTCTGCCTGTACTGTTGTTTTTAGGACAGTAAAACGAGTTTCTGAGGTGAAATTGTCTGAAAACAGAACGTTCACGTATTCCTGTCTGCAATATTCTTATGGCCTGATTCCGATTTTCACTGCTTAGTCTCGGCAATATGGAGATGCAACATTTGTTTAATGATTCAAGTGTGGGTACAGATTGAACGAATTGTTTCACCAAAAAAAAATCCTTAAAAAAATCATTTGTTGGTTTCAAATTTCGCATTGAGAAATTCGTGTGACTTCAATAATCCGATATGTTACATAACCTCAGGTACGTCAGTTATTGAATTTTTCTAAACATAAAGAAGTATGGTAAGCATGAATAGTTGTTATAAGAGGATCAATTGTGATTTGGTAAAAAAAGTTTACCAAAATGTGTGTTGCGTTTCTAAAGCCGTCAATATATTACGACCCATGAAATGCATAAAATTTGCATTAAAGTTTATTTTCATATTTCTTACACAGAACTAAAACAGAAAATTAAAACAGCTGTAGATTTAAGTACTATTCTTAATATCAAAGAAGCATGCAAGACACATCAAATGATTTCATTTGGAACCTTTTTCTGCTGTTATCGATAGAAAAAAATAAGAAGTTTTTCTAAAATAAAATGTTTTACCTACCTACCCTACCTAATTTTTTTCGAGGTGAAATAGGAAACACACTATTTATTTATTTTGGCCTCACCGGAAGTAAACCAATCAAATTTCACCCCTTTTTTCTTGTTAACAAGCTTAAGTAACCATGTCCCCTCCCCTCAAGTTTCCAAAATATTTTGTAGAAATGTCTAGCCAGGTAGGTCTATTAGTGGATAAATTACCTATATTTTTACTAACCATTTGTGCTAATTATATATAATTAGTCACAAGATTATATGAAAAGTTTTTCATGTACATGTATTAAATTACTAGACGGGTAAGTCATGTTTCCTAAATGAGCAATAGCCTGTATAGAAAAAAAAACAACACTTTAGTTGTTTATAAATTACAATCAAAGCGTAAAGTGTACAGAAAAATTAAAAATAAATCATGTTTAACCCAGCTCGGAATAAATTGGAAGTTATTTATACTATCCCAAATGCTAATGTATGTATCTAAACAAACTACAAACAGTCTTGTGTATATTAACAGGTGGTTTTATTAATTTTATTAACATTCTGATTTATCTTGTGAGTAACATCAACACATGGTGGATGTGGTCCACTGCCTCTTGACAAAATGCCATACATTCCAAGATGATGAACAGGTCAAACAGAGTTATTTCCCTTTACACAATAACAATTCAATTAACATTGTCTTATGGAGTTGAGTGTGTAAGCTGCAGTTGTTTTGTATTTGACGTTCTTTGAATGATTATGTCTATGAAATATATGACATTCAAGTGAATCAGTCAAATTTATAAACAGAAATTTTGACACCCATTCGATTCATGCATCCAAAATGGCGGATGTGGTCTACTTCCGATTGCCTTCTGTCAAAGACATTTTCCAACGTTCTAGCTACTGTAGAGACTTACCGTTCCGACTGATATCAAGTTCCATGAGGTTAATAAGATTTGAGATCTCTGGTGCGATTCTGCCGATTTCATTGTCGCTTAAACTTAGTTTTCTCAACTGAACAAGTCTGTAAAAACCCTGAAATAAAATATAAACAATGTTAGATGACCGGTTGTTTTGCTTTAAGTAAACACATTTTAACATACTGTATGATATAGTTACCTTTGGTAAGTCCTTCAGCTGATTTGCATCTAATAAAAGTTCTTCTAAACAACGTGTATAGCGTAAAATGTCATCGGGAACATCTGTCAAATTGCAGTGTCTCCTGTCAATATATTCAACTTGTCTATTACAAGCTTTAAAAAGCGGAATACATTTAAACATCGTGAAAATCTAGTGCATATTATGGATAATCAATTCTAAAATATGTCATTTCTGCGTTAAAACCATAAAAGAGGAAGAAGTTCAAGGTAAAATCCCTTTCTAAAGGTAAAATCCTCACTCCAACGGAGCTTCTAATGCTACATTTAGCCGCGTGACGTCAGACATACTCCCATAATGCAACGCAAAACAGGTACTCGGAATTTCTAGTTCCGTATCAATTTACATTTTTTCTATTTAATATTATTTTACAATTTAAAGGTAGTTGGAATAAATTATTGTCCTCACTCAGATTAAAAAACAATTAATATAAACAAAATCAATTTCAATTATTTTGTGTTCCCACTGTCAAAAGCAGACATGCATGTATCCAGAGACAAATAATACTTGTATTATATGTCTCTGATGTATCTGATTGGTCTTTTTACTAAATTATCATGATATTTTATTTTAACATATTTCATAAACACTGGAACCATAGATTTATATAGTAAATATATTTTTGACTATACAAATCTTTCTGGAACTAATAGCTAATTAATAAGTAAGTCCCAAAAATAGACAGAAAGAATGTAAATTTTCATATCATGTTTTATAGATAAATGATTATAACAGATACCTGGGACTATTAAATTATACTTAAAATATTATGTCCCAACAGAGACATGCTACAACTAAAAAGAGAACAATGGACACAAAGTGCTTAAAGAAAGACAGAAAATACAGAAAAGAGAAAAATATGCAGAGAAATTAAGAATAGAGAATAGAGAATAACGGGTGCTAAATTATACAGAATAGAGAATAATGGTCAAGATAAATAAAGAATAGAGAAAAATAGTCTAAAAAATAAAGACAACAGAAATGTCTCTGATTATTCAAACAAACCCGAAGCGTGAGTACTAAGTATGACTGTTAATTTTTCAAGCCTGCAATACCTTTCAGACTGAGGACAATACACAAAAACAAGTATATATACACTGAACGAATAAGTTTGATCTACGACACAATATAAATAACAAAGATGTTTCAATGTCAAAAAGACAACTTTAACCTAGGACAACTGAATGGCGTTAAATAAAGTAAATTAAAATATAAATTTTGTTGTTGGGAGTACAGAAATGTTTTTTGCAAAATAAATTTGTTGTTCATAGTACGAGTACAGAAGTGAAAATCCCTCCCCCGTCATACTTAATACTTATCAAAGGTGGTACATATTAAAAAGAGTAAGACGAGCTATAACACAAAATAAGTAAACATTGAATAACAGAAATGCATTACAAATTGTGTCAACAGGTCAAATTAATACGAAAGTACGATTTGAGAGTATTCGCAGTTACTGAAAGCTAGTTAAAAGCCAAAAACAATTAATAATAAAAAATCATGCATCAGAGACTAAAATCAATTAAAACGCATCCCAGGCAGGGATTTAGCATTTTAACGCCATGGACAGTCAAAGAAGACATGACTTGTGCAATGCCAAAATAAAAGTAACGACAGGCAGTAGGATAGTTAGGATTTAACCTTATAATAAATATGTATAATAGATAATAAACGTGGATACATCCCAAAAAAAAAAACATTCGAAAAGAGTACATATAGGTTATGTTTTAATTTGTTGATGACAAAATCGATGTTAGTGTCAATGAAAACAATATTCAAAGATCTAATTACAACATTAATAAGATAACCTTTACTAACAAGTTTTTTTAAAGATTCGATAAGTTTACACGGATCACATAGTGATTTCGGCGCTTTTAGTACAATATTACCGTAAAATTTAGGATGTGAAATACCATTTTTAATACGTTTTCTACAGGTACAGCCAAATTTACTAATCAAATCTTTGTATCTATGAAAGAATTTAGTAAATGTTTTAAGTAATATATGGTAACGAAATCCCTGACTTAATAATTTACCAGTGATACATTGATTACGTTCGTTAAAATCTATGACATCACTACACACACGGGCATAACGAACGAGTTGTGATATATAAACACCGTATGATGGAGCCAAAGGAACATCGCCGTCTAAAAAAAGTAAAATTAACAATAGGGAATGAAAAATCGTCTCTTTTGTCGTAAAATTTAGTATGGAGTTTCCCTTTAGAAATTGAAATGTCTAAATCTGGAATAGGACAACTACTACTGTTTATATTAGATTTATTTAAAGTAAGTCCCTTTGGGTAAATTTCGGTAGTATATTTAGAGAATTCTGGATTATTTAATGAAAAAATATCATCAAGATAAAGGTAGGTATTGTTGAATGTGTCAACTAAATATAACAATGACGTGTCTTTACTAATTTTGGCCATAAACTGTGCCGCGGATTCGTAGCAATATAGGAATAAATCTGCTACTAAAGGGGCACACTTAGTGCCCATAGGAATACATACTACCTGTCGATACACTTTATCGCCGAAACGTACATATATGTTGTCCAGGAGAAAATTTAAAGCTTCAATCATATCTTCACATTTCCAGTAAGTGTGTCTAGCACACTTTCCTTTTTTGTTACAACAACAACAACAACAATTTTTATTTGTCAATCAAGACGCCCGAGGAGCAGTACAATTACAGTTTAAATTAAAGTGTACAAATAATTGTGGTGATTTTTTTTCATTGAACTATTTGAAATTACAATACATGACAATAAAACTAAAACTATGTAGGAGAAGGGAAACAACAAACACAGTATATTCCCAAAGATAATGAGTGAGTGAACACAATCAGTACCGTTGTATTATTAAAAGAAGAGCTGGGGGCTACTCATTTTTTATCACTTAATTTTGCTCTTCTAGTCTTTATCAAACCATCTATTAACTTTATCATTATGTTATTAACAAATGGATCTTCATTTGACATCAACCATACAAATTTTGATTGGTCATTTAGAATTTTAAGATTAGTAAATTTAGAGGATAACTCTAAAATGAAACTGGACCTTTCAGTTTTAAGTGATGGACATTGAAGAAGACAATGAATTTCATCCTCAACAATGTCATTATGACATAATTTACAAAATCTTTTGTCTGGGGGTATTCCTTTATGTCTTCCCTTTTCTATTACAAGCTCATGGGCACTGATTCTAAATTTGGTTAACTCGTTTATTGTTTTACAATTATTTAACAGTAAATATTTTTCAAGGCCAATATTATTTTTAAATAGTCTATAGGTTCTTAATTTGTTTCCTTTCACCATGCCTGGTTTGTCATTATTTAATTGGTTAAGCCAAATTTCATCATATTTAATTCGGAGTTTTTTTTAATGATAATCGACTTTATATTAGATTTGTGATTTAACAAATATTCTGGAGTTAAACTAAGATATTTACATAATGAATAAATGCTTCCCAACCAATTGTCGTTACATTAATTAGATAAAATTTTAGACTTTTCAAATGCTTCTTTAATGAGGGAGTTATTTTGTTCTGAAAGCCTGACCCAAAATTTAGTCATATTAAGAATAACCTCAATAGATTGGGGGTAGCGCCCCAACTCTCCCATCACTGCTAGGTTAGTTGATCTTCTAGGTACCTGTAGAGAATATTTACAAAATTTAACATGTAATTTTTCAATAACTAGATCTTTGCACATCTGGAAAAAATAGTTATCCCCTTTTGATTGTAACTTATTTGGAGAGAATTGGCCCCCAAATTTCTGAGCCATATAATAAAATTGGCTTCAGTATGTGGTCAAAAATATGTAATAGTGTTTTAATATTAGGTTTAAAATGAGTAAAATATCTTTTTAATGCTTTATTATATAGATTGAACTTAGCATCTGTAAATCTGCCAGATACAGTGAATATAATGCCAAGATAATTATATTTTTTTCTCATTATTTATTAGCTGACCATTTAATGTGAATTTTTCCTTTGATATCCTTCCTGTGTTATTAAAAATTAACACTTTGTTTTTTTTTTCATGTTAATTTCTAGTCCCAATTTATTACAATAATCCATTAAATTGTCCAAACAATTTTGTAATCCAGATGAAGTTTCAGAAATCATAATGAGGACATCTGCATACATTAAACAGTTAAGGGTACTGTTGTTTAACAAAACTGGGCATCAGTTAGAATAAAAAATATCTGGTAAATCTTTTATGAAAAGTTTAAACAATGTATAGGGCTCAAATTATCCCCTTGACGGACACCAATATCTGATGGGAAGTTTTCAGTTAGTGTGTTACTATTAGTTTTTACACACAAAGAATATATTTATGTGCTCTACGCGTAGTTATTTTTAGTCGCGTAGTACCTAGGGTAAGAACCGGTTTGGATTTCGCGGGTAGTATATAAGAAAAGGATCACGTTTTTTCAGTTATCGAGGTTAGGCGGTGACCACGTTGATTACTACTACAGTGTAGACATATTTACAGTAGTGTAGAATTGTAATGTAATTCAGAGATCAATTGGATGTGTACTAATTATGATAATTGTTTATTTTTAGATATTCTGTAAGGCCAGTGTACCATAAAAAAATTTATTTAGTGGACGTTACGTACATGTGTATTTGCATTCAGTGAATCCAATGTTTTTGTGGACAGTGAAATCACTAGTTCGTTTTCCTTTAAAAATCCTATTTGCTTTGGACCAACTATATTTTTTTTTAGTTATAAACTTTTCTAACCTATTATTAAGTATTTTTAAAAAGAGTTTTCCTACACAACTACCTATCGTGATGCCCCTAAAATTTGAGGGGTCATCTTTAGATCCGCATTTGTGTAATGGGACAATAAATCCCTTAGCCCATATTTCAGGAAATTTTCCTGTTGTTAATACTTTGTTAAATATCTTTACAAAACATTTAAGCAGATATGATTGGCTGCACTTGAGCATCTCATTTATTATTGAGTCGAAGCTGCTTGATTTATTGTTTTTTTTAGTGATTTGACTGCTTCTTTTATCTCTTTTTCTGTAATTTTATAATCCATTTCTGTGAACATTTGATGCTTTTCTAGTTTATTAAGTGAATTAATTAGTTCTTTATTTACAGGTAAGGAATTTGAATTAAGCTTTTTAAAATAGTGTAACCAATCAGAGTTTGATATATTAGATGTATCTCCTTTCGTAGAGGATTCATTACTGAGAGACTGTAGTAAGGCCCAATATTGGGATGGATTGTTATCTCTCATGTTGTCTAATTGTACAATAAGATC